AATGTGGATCAACGTTCGAACGTTCCCCTGAAGTGATTGAGGACCAGGCTGTTGAGACATGGCATGTTGCAGTCAAAAAAGGAAAATGATGAGGTACTTGAGTACCACATTCGAACGCCCACTCACGTTCAAACATGCTCTTGAATCTTGAGAAGACTAGACTACTGAGACCTACTGGCGTGTTGTAGCAAAGAAAGAAGAACCACAAAAGTACTTGAATACAACGTTCGAACGCCACTCCACATTCAAACGTTGTCTTGAGTTACTGAGGACCAATTTGTTGAGTGTAGGGTCAAAGTTCTTCAAGACATATGGAATTAACCATCATAGAGACCACATGCCACTTAAGTAGGGGGGTTTAGACCTCATCTGGTGTTCAAACGCCCTTAAACCAAAAACAAAGACAACGTTCGAACGCCCTTAAAGCAAAAATAGAGACAACGTTCGAACGACTGATCATATTCGAATGCCCGCCACTGATTGGCTTTTCAGTTGGACTTGGGCGACAAATACCATTCCTTCACCCCCTCTTCTTCCTTGCCTATAAATACCCCCATTGTGGGAGCTTCAAAGGGGCAATCTTTCTTTTGTAGAGTAGATTAGAGAGTTAGTTTTTGTACATTTCTTGTTTATGTTTTTATTTTGCATTTGTATCAACCATGATGGAGGCTAAAACTCCCCTTGTAGTTGAAGTCTTTTATTTACTTATGCTAAGTTTTTACATTCATGTTGTGACAACCATGATAGAGGCTTAGACTCCCCCTGTAGTTGTATTTTCTTTTATTTACAAGTATCAAGGGAGATAGCTCAACTTTTGATTGTGGTGGAAATCCTCCAAAAGTAACTAGCTTTCTTTTATTTTCAATGTTCTTTTATTTCACTTATATTGCTTGAGCTTCCTCCTTTCGTAGAAGAGTGAAACTCTTCTATTTTTCTAAAGCTTTACCAAAGCCATAAAGAGTAGAACGTGATTTACTCATTCTTCGTCGAAGAACTGCTCTTCGTTTATTGTACTTTACTTTGAAAGTTATCTACTTGGAGGGATGAGCATCACTCACTTTTCTAGTTTTACCCAAGTCATGAAGAGTAAGTAGTTCCTCATTTACTCTTTAGTAAGAGGTGATGAATATGTAGAAATTATCCAAAAGTTATATTTGTGTAATCCCTTTATGCTTTAATGCTTTATATTTCACTTGTTTATTGAATGATTGCATGTATCTAGCAAAGCTAAGGTGCTTTGTATAACCATGGATTCTTTTTATGTCACAGATGACTCTTGCATGGAAAAATCCGTTGGTTTAAGGCAAGTACCTCGGCTAGATCTTCATGACAACATTTCAATCTTCACCGTTATTGTGCTTTATCTAAAGAATGGAACATTAATGTGATGGTTGGATGCCTTGTAGAAACAGTTACTTGTTTGTAGATGGGTTGAGTCCCTTGTGTCTCAAAGTGTCATTAGGTTATGTGGTATCACATGTTATTCCGTGGGTTGATGGGTAATCAACGGATTGAGTAATGATACTAGAGAATTGGGGTGTCACAGGTAGGATAGCAAAGCCAACGACTTAGGGAAGACGAATAAGAGAAGAAAGAGGAAGGGGACCACTTCAACTCTATAAGTGTGTGACATTGTGTGGGACCTCCCATAGACCTCTGGTTAGGCTTAAAATGACCCAAACAAATATATAGAAATCTGTGTAGAGTTTCGTCGCGATTCGATACTCCAGTCAAATCGAGATGTGAAATATTCGTTTTGCCCTCCAAGGTCGATTTGACCTACTTTTTGGATGGTTTTGGTCAATAGCATTTGATATTCACTTTTAAATAGTTCAATTGAATATGTGTATGAAATTTCAAAGCAAAATAACATTGTTCTATTTTTTGTAGTTTTCGGATCAAAATACTGCATGAGGTAATGTTTCTCATTTTCGAAATGGGCAAGATTTTCTAAACTCTTTGCAAACTATTCAATTAAGTTATTTAAATATTTTAACATGTTACATCACTTATGATTTGGTGGTTTGTATTGTTTTGCAATTTTGAACCTAGTTTGGGTTTTGATATGCGTTTTGCGCGATGGTTCGTATTGATTGTAAAAAACTGAAACGCCAAGAACCTTTTTAATGAAATGTAAGTGCACACAGAGTTAAATGGTAGAGAGTTTACATTCCAGATTAAGGCTGTAGAGGGTTTTATTAAGTTCGTAAATGCCGAGGTGGCCTGGTTGGTCTTCAGACTTGGGTATCGAATTATGATTTACGAAGCATTTGTTTGGGGTGCAAGTTCCCTAAAAGACTGGATTGTATGGACCCTAAGTGGTCTATTAGGTTATTTTGTCTCTGGTGTGACATAGTATCTGAATTTCTAAACTTTTCTTTATTATTACTATTTTGTTAACTACTATTGTTCCCATATGAAATAACGACGTTTTAGTTACATATGTATCAAATGTCTGTCTTATGGATGCCCAATCATATCAAACTACTTATTTTCAAACTCGCATGTTTTGGAATGGATTTATTGTACTGAGTTGTTGATGCTTACCTTATATTATTTCTATCTTTACAGATTAGTCAGTGCCGAGAGAAATTGTGAACAGTCTAACTGTTAGCTTTTCGTTTGTTTAAATAGTGTGTGAGTTTATAAAACTTCTAATTATAATAAGTTGTATACATGTGTACTAGGATTTAACGTAGACTTAGACAGAGTAGTTATGCTAGTTATTTTTAATGTACGTTAGTTAAGCTTTTAGGGATGTATGAGTTATGCTATGTGTGTTTGGTTACTTACATCAAGTTGTGTTGTGTTAGTTACATTACATACTTGTGCGGGTCGAGGTAACATACGTCATATGCTTGGGATGATCTAGGGTGCTACTATCATATATTTAACTATAACACAGTTGCATTCCTACAAATCTCAGGAATCTTTTTTTTTTTTTTTTGCCCGAGGGGGTGGTGGGGGAGGGGGAATTCTTTAAAATTTGAATCTACCTCAAAATTCAATGGGGGTAACTACCCCCAGACCTTACCTGTAGATTCACCCCTGCCTAAATTTGTTGGGTTGATTCATTATTATTGTCTGATCAATAGTGATTCTCATATAATTTAGAAATTAATGGGTTTTTGATCCAATGATACTCCTTATCTTGTAAACATTTTGCCTTCTTGAGGTTAAGGATTCAAGTTCCCCTCCCATTTCATATATATATATGATTTAGACGCCTACAACGAATATAACAATAACAAACAATTAAGTTAGTAAATTATGCTAATAAATTACTTACAAAAATTATTGTTCTAATTCATATTTTGAGTCAACAAGTGTAGATGGAATGATAGAGGCCTGAAGGATTAATTTATGGTAACTAGTCCCGATCCCTACCCTGAATTTAGGCCTATGGAGATTTTTCTGGACTTGTCGTGCATGTGTATTGGGACGAGTATATACACTATACAGTTTAACTAGGTTCCATAACTTAAAATATCTATAATTTAAGTACAACATAAAAAGTAACTATTTTTTTGCGATTGAGAACGTTTTAAATGTTATTTTAAAATTAATCCGATGACTAATATTAACTTCCCATATTTAATTGAAAATATAGCCCCTCTAAAGGTGGAGTGACTTTTTAAAAGTACTTACAAGACTTATAACTTCTCATAAATACCTTTAGAAAAAATAAGTAGTGTTTCCAACAACTTATTTTAATTACTTCTAAATAAGTAGAAAATAGTTTTACCACTTAAATAAGTAAAAATAAAAGTAAATAATAATAATAATAATAATTTTTTTTTTACTATTTTAAAGTCGTTTATCTACAAAACTCTTCACCATCACCATCGTCACTACCACCCCAACATTACCACCGTCATCGTCATCACCTACCACCGATTGTTACCACCGCTGCCCACCGCCACCACCCACTACTATCATCATCTCAATCTTATATGTATTACCACTACCACCATCATCCCACCCCCTACCAACGCCTACTGCCAGCACCCTCCACCACCATCGTTGCCCACCATCACCCGCCGCCACCTACTACCATAACCAACCTCCACCTATTGTCGCCCATTGCCGCCTCTACTCATTGTCACCCACCCCCACCACACCTACCATCAAACCACCATTCACCACCAACCACCCCCACCATTTGCCACCAACAACCACCTGTCATCGTCCACCACCACTCACACCCGCCACCACCATCATCATCGCCCACCACCATAGCCCACTACTGCCACCACCACCGTCCTCGCCCCACCACCACTACTACCAACCGCCATCACCATTGCTCACCACCATCCACACCCACCACCATCACCATTGACACCCATGATTGCCACCACCATAGTCGTCGTTGCCCACCACAACCATCACCATTTTCCACCACTACCTCTACCACTATCACCTCTTACAACTGGTTTTTAAATTTATTTCTCTCTCCTCTATGTTTGTGATTTGATTTGAGTGTGAATATAAATATGTTTATGATTGATAATTTTTTTTATTATTCCGTGCTTCAGGCACGACCAATAACTAATAAAAATATACATGTTTCTTACAAGTTACTGTTTTTAGGAATACAAAACAAGATATATACTCTCCTTGATAAATTCTGAACTCATCAACTGAAATTAAGTCAGTAATTTAAGTTTGACTACTATTAAAAGGTTAATGTAATACACTATTCTAATAATGTGGTAGTTCATATGGTCTCACTAAATAAAAATCTAACAGTTAACATTACAAACAATATTTTTAAATCATGTTAACTGTCACATAATTATGTCAATACTTTAGGTCAAATTTTTAGGACTCAATGCCATTCCTTCTAAGGTTTAGGAAACATTACTCTAATCCCATATTAGATGCAAATCAATTCAATCATTTGTTTGTTCAGCCTTAGGTAAGAATAGAAAGTGGGGCAAATTAAAGGGGGAAAGATCAATGACAAAACTCTAAATACTAAGTAAGAAGATGATAATAGGCTACAAACCTGATTGCAACAGAGGTGTGGGAGGCAGATGGGTACCATAGTGCTGTTGATAACCCCCGGTTCCATTAATGGCGGAATACTGATAGAGGTGGTGTGGGTACTGGACAGTGTAGCCCTGTCCGGCACCTGCATTGTAGTTGCCTGCTCCGCCACTCCCTTCCCTGAAATTCAGATAGGGGTAGTAGGCTGCTGCTGCGCCAGCTCCATACATGGGATATTGTGTAGTTGCCCCTCCATACAAACTATAATAACCCTGAAAATTACATCGAAATAGAATTGAAAACAAGTTATACGCTCTCTCAGAGTCAGATCAGTCACCTGAAAGAATGATGCATTTGTTTTCTGAATCAATTGGGTCCTCGAACTATTTAAGAGGGAATAGAAAGGTTTTGTTCATGTGAACCTTCGATGTTTCATTGAAGAAACTAGTCTTATAGGGCAAAGAAAGGATCGACCTTGACCGTCATTCATGGAGCCGAAACACGTCCCCACATAAATGTGCTCCCATAAAAGTTGACTGGCAATTTCTTGTGAGAATTTCAGAATGTGTAGCTGATTGCTTGATTTCTTTTTAACCCTTCTTTTTTGGGTACGAACACATTAAAAAATTAAGACCCCATTGGATTTTGTACATGAGTAATTCTATAGAGAACTAATTAATAATTTAATTCTTTATAATTGTTAGATTAATTGTAAATTTTAAAGGTGAATAGAGCCCGCCATCAATTTAACAGCTACAATTGATTAAGTGTACATTTTAGGCCCAAATATCATTTTATTTTTCACATTGGATGCTGGAACTTAAAGGTAGAAAAGCGATCTGGTGTTGGCCGCCCGAAGAGCCCAAAATAGAATTACATTTACAAATGGGAAATTCTACGAGTCATACCACAACACCGCACTAGGACGTCTTCATCACTGATAGTATTTTAATACAGTATTAATTTAAAAAACATATATTAATCATATAATTATCGTATATTTTTTATATGATAGACTTTTATTATGGAGGTCTTTTAATACCACTAAGAGATGTGGTATTATAATTCAACTTAAATGTATTATTTCAAACATTTACTATTATAACCCCCAAGTGATAAAATTAAATTGTCATAAATGTAACAAATACTGATTAATAGTATTTTTTTTAATTCAACATTAATACAATGAAATAATTCTCTAAACAAACAACCGATTGAATTAAGTAACTACTATCCAACGCTTATATTGTGTATTGTCAAACACTAAATAAAATTAGTATTATTTTAATACCATATTTAATCTTATATTTTATCCATCTGTATTGTATTAAACTGTATTACTTTATTCAATTCATCCATTTTTAATACGGCAACCAAACGAGACCTAATAGCATTTGTATATCGTTTACAAACTATTTATACCCAAAAATGATAAAATTTGAGAATGATACGTAGAGACAATCTGACGGTCATAAAAGAGTTTGTGAGAGTCCAAAGACAAAATAATTAGAGAAGTGAGACTCTAAGAATCTTGAAAAATAGGGAAACGTGGCATCATGAGCCTGCACGTCTGAATATCTCAAGGAAAAATGCCATGATTACAGTTATGGCCAAAAAAGATGTTTTTTTACAGTTGAAGGACATCCCTATAAATAACAAGGGTAAGGCTATAGAGAAAGAATCCACGATCAAACACAACAAATTATACACAAAGCGAGCCTATCTCTTGCTTACTTGTTTTTACTTCCCAGCAACTTTACTTATTTTTATAATTCATCACACTGGTGATCTTTATCGTTTTCATTTAATGTTAAGTATGGTACTCTTTACATTCCAAGTTTAACTTATTTGTTACATTACATTCCAACATTATTTTTATGTTCTAGTCAATTACATTGCTAGTTGAAAAATTATTTGAAGTCCTCGATCCCGAAGGCATAGAAAAGAACTCAGAGATAGCCTTACGACTCATTCTAATCGCCTGAACAGTCACAATTTTAGAACATCATATATGTTCAAATATTTAAAGTCGTACATGTTGGGATCTTGAGTCCAACCAGACTTTGGCATGCCTACAATCCAAAAATATACAAACATATTCTTTGGCATGCCCAGTGGGACCTTGAGTTCCAACATGGTGAACACCTATAGAAAAACCAAAATTGGCTCATCAGAAGTGCCTCCAATGCATGAGGCTGTTGAAGAGAGCAGGCCTGACGTCCCCAACTTGCAGGAAGAGGTGTCTCCGTTCGGGGGTCAATATAATCTAGAGTCTGACTTAGAACTGGAGGCTTCAATTAAGGCTTTGTCACAAGAAGTCTCCCAATAAGTTTTCGAGTTCATCAATGGGTTAGGGGACTTGATCATAGAAGAATCTGGCCGCACCAAACAGGCATTGGAGCGGCTAGTCAACAGTTTAAATCCCCTAAGGGCTCTAGGAAGCCATTGTTTCCCCTATACAAGCAACACCTTTGGAGGCACCGCAACTAGTGCTTCCTTCGTACTGTCGCCCCCGAGAGTGCAGTAGGCTAGGAATGACCCTAAATCTTGAGTTTGGGGGGCAAAGAAGGAAGTCATCAATTGTTCCCCTAGTGGCACCCCAAGTGTACATGCATCGGGACCAATTAAAAAAAATTATCTAGAAACACGTCGGCCTAGCCATGAGGCACGTAACCAGGCCAACATATCGAAAACCATACCCCAATTGGGTGGACAAGGAATATGAGTACTCTTGAGGATACAAGGTCCTAGTGATTGCAACCTTCTTGGGGGAAAGCAATTAGTCGACCATGGAGCACATCAGCTGTTTTACTATATAGTGTAGTGAAGCAAAGGCTAACGAGTTTTTGAAGTTAAGGCTATTTGCTAATTCCCTATAGGGATGACCTTCATATGGTACATTGACTTGCCTCCTAACTCCGTGTTAGGCTAGCAGCAACTCGAAGACATGTTTTATGCTCAATTCTACCGCATTGAGCTGGAAATGACAATGACTGATTTGGCTAAGTTGTACCAGATGACTGGAGAGACAACAAAATACATCATGTGGTTTAAGAAGGCCAATAATAGGTGTAGGTTGGCCTTAACCAAGATGGAATATGTGCGCATTACGCAGAACGTGCTAGGTTTTAAGCTCTGGAAGAAGTTCAAAAGAATGGAGTTAAACGACCTTTTCAAGTTGGGGATGCGGGCTACTTGGTATGAGCAGATCCTACGAGAGGAGTTGGACCGAAGAAACATGTCCAAGGGTACATACTTTGGAGGCCCTAACAAAGAGATCCTCATAGTCAAGCCAGATTAAGAGGTGGAGGTAACTATGGCAAAGATTGTGGCTAGCCGGCCATATGTGTGCAAGGCCTTAACTAGGTCCTCAGAGAATTAGGCGCAAGCTTCATCAAGCGTTGACAAAGGAGTCGGTGAAGGCAATAACCAAAAATATGACTTCGACATTTCAAAAGCCGATCAGATTTATGATCATCTGCTCCCTGACAATATTATCAAATTGTCGTTTGGTCATAAGATTCCATCGGCCACAGAGGTGTAGAGCAAGGCTTACTAATGGCATAATATGTAGGGCCATTCAACTACTAACTGTGTAGTGTTCTATAACACCATTTAGGATTGCCTGACCAAAGGCCATCTAATCTTTCAAGATAAAGAAAAATCAGATATTGGAGTCGATAAGGACCCTTTTCAGTAGACAACTACCATTAATATGGTGGAGAAGGGGCAGTCAAAGACCCCACAAAAGAAGGTGGATTTGGGTAATGAAAAACCAACCAACTAAAAAAGGCCTAAAGGTGAAAAAGACACTACTCCCCAAGAGGAATCAGAAGAGGAGAACCTTCATAGCAAGTTTATCATTTTAGCCAAAGTGTAGGAGCATTTGGATATGGCCAATAATTGCCTATGCCACAAATGCAAGGCTTACTATGGAATCATTCCAGAAAAGGAGCGAGGAAAAATAGGCAAAAGAACACAAAAGCAATGGCACTATAAAGGCACACACCAAGAGTGACCACTACCACAACGGGATTATGAAGATCGTTCTGGCAAGTTCATAAGGTTGAGCTACAAAGAGCATGACAGGAATCTGCCAGAACCATCGCAAGGTCAGCCTGGGTCGAGATACAAAGAGTTTGCCACGTGGTTGAAACCTAATTAGTCCATTCGGGCTGAGGGTTATCAAGACCGATCTAGGATGATCAAACCAACAAAGCCATTGGAAGGTTGTTGGTATATGGAAAAACATCCCAAGTCATAGTATCACCGGGTGTGAAATTTATCTAGAACCCAAATGCGCAGTAAGCAACAAATTCAGGCGGACCTACCCAGGTTGGAGGAATACAAGGAGCAGTTGTGTCAGACCCAAACATTTAGATAACAAATTTGATATAGTGTTGAGGGTTTAAATGTGCATGTTGATTTTAGTTATGTGATGTAAATAAAAACTATTGGAAAAATGAGAAAAAAAGTACCAGTTTTGAAATAACTTTTGGGTTTACTCCCAAAGTTTAGAAAAAAATGTAGGGTGTGATGGGTTAGCTAAAGGAAGATCAAATTTGTAATTGTAATTAAAGGTTATTGGGCTTAAATATATAGATGCATGTATCTATATATGCACTATATATCTATATTACTTATAAATGTCAGTATATGTGAAAAACTTTTGATTTCCTATTCCACCCTTAATTATTACCATAAAGCCATTTATACCCACATAGTTTCTTGTCTTTCATACCTACTTGACTTCTAAAATATTAACTAAATAAACTTTATCTCTAAGACTTGGTAGATAAACCTTATCAAAATATTACCTAGATAAACTTTATCAAAATATTAGTTATATAAATTTTATCTCTATGACTTGATACAAGATAAACTTTATCTCTATGACAATATATTCTTTCTTTTCCATTCAATTGTACAAACACTACTAGAATTTTAATACCACATATTGGTAATTTTTAGGTGATACCTATACATATATTTTTTTGTCTTTCCTACTTATTAGACTTCTAAAATATTTTGAATTCTTTCATATATATATAAACTTTACCTCTATGACAATACATTCTTTATTTTCCATTCAAGTGTACAAACTCTATTAGAATTGTAATACAATATATTGATAATTTTTAGGAGATACATATACATATATTTTTTTGTCTTTTCTTCTTCCATTCACGTTAGAATTAGAAGATGGCATGAAGTCGAAGTTAGAGTTTTTGGAATAATTGAGGTTAGTTTATCAATTCCTCTGTTTTACTTTA